CCGAGTAGAATAGGATAGTTGTCCGATCTACCTTTGAAAGAGTACACGTGGAGATTTGTTCAAGGAGCACCTTTCCCGCTTACCATCGCAAAATGTGTTGTCGTAACTGATCCATATCTAGTCACGTCTACCTGACTGTATGAAGTGCTCGTGGCATTGAGCCCTATAACTGTACCTTTCAACTTTTCCCAAGAACCGTCCTTCTAGAGTCGAGTGTCTCGAGAAAACTATTCCTTTTGAGAGCATCTGGCCAGTTCTATATGTAAATATTTGCTGACACTGTTGTCTCTTTCTAAAATCTAGTCAGCATACTCGTCTACCAACAGAATAAAAATATTCAGCCCCATTAATCTGTACGCACTTCCAAGACGAAGACGAATTGTTGAGCCTCTCTGCGTGTGTCTATAATAAGCATCAGCGGCCCGGCCCGCTTTGAACTTAAATGGCGTCATAGCCATTGCTTGGCGTTCATACCAGTGGTTTCGATTCACATCTACAAGTCGGAGAAAAAGACTTCGGCGGGGAGTACATCTATCGTCATATCAAGCCCAGTGGAGGATGAGGGTAGAGGAACAAAATGGGTGGATCGGAAGTGATGTTGGCGGCTAGGAGGGTCAGGAGACAGTCAATTTCCTCAACCTTTTGCACTTCACGAAATCCATACTTTGACAACTGGATGTCACCCACTCTTTTGCGACTCCATATGCGTTCTACATCTTCAGACAGGCCACTACATCCTAGAGTACCCTTGAATACCCTTTAACTTGGCATTTCTTCTCCTCGGATCACCGGGTAGCACCTGATTATCAAGTGGGTATGGGCTGATAAATAAGACAACCGCTGTAGAGTTGTTTCGTTGCTGGTGCTGGGAGCCTCCATTCGTTTGCGCATCTAAATTTCTGCAGGAATTTCTCGGCAGGCTCCGACAAGAACTAACAAGGATCAAGCAATAGCATGACGTCAAGACGGGACGCCTTGACCGATCCAACCCGGCTGGGTTTGAAAGCGCTCGAATGGGCCAGTCGTTGGTGAGTCATGCCATCGTATCACATTTAAGGGCAGGAGTATTACGACGTTGCTTGTAGGAGCTACAAAACATACTCTGCCCACTGTGATATCAAACAGAGTACCGTAACACAACGAGTTTCTTGCGATGCAAACAAGTTCGTGTAATATGCCCAGCTATAGAAGCACGCGGGTTATGCCAGCCATCTGAGGCTGGACTAATTAATACCAAGGGACCCTGCGGACAAGCCCCGGGACCTTTATATTCGCGACAAATACAAATGTCCTATATTTCTAGAGGCTTCTCCAAAAACTAGAGGTGCCTGTGCTTCGTAGAGAAAGGCGTTCAATAACTATGGTAATTTACTAGTTACTATGGGGTCGGAGGTTCACAGGGCAACGTACTCTTCACGGATACAACAAGTAGTATCCAATATCGCTACTCGAAGCCTCCAATGAAGAGCCTGGATCTCTTTCGTAGGTCGTCAAAGAAAAATAGCCCCGGCCAGTCTGGTCAATCTGGTATTCTCCAGGATGACTAAATGACTAAAAGGGGCAGATCAGCCTCACCCGACTTTTCGCGGAAGCCAAAGTCAACTTTCGCCTCAAAAGCTCAACACACCAAGCGACCCGCGAGTCGAATCTCCAGCGCCTTTGCCGTCGCATACGCTAGTCCAGCCAGCAGTACAGCAGCCTGGAGCCTGGCAGCCGTTCCCACTGGCTGAAATAAATATCCTTGTCTCACCCGCTAGTTAACTAGCTGGTTATCCAACAGTTTCAACTGACTACCCCGCGAGCCCTTGCCTGCTGCTGCCTAGCATCCAACATCAAGCGCCGGCATATAAAAGGGCAGTGATTCCTCGCCGAGTCGTTTGTCTGGCCTGTTCGATACACATCCAGGCGAAATTTTGGAACTCGTGCGTTCGGCTACTCGATATTCGGAGACGGCGTCATGGCGAGTCAGAAGCGCATTTCAAAGGTACCTTATGGCCCATATTGTGTAGTGCATCTATCTAGTAGCCATGGGCTAACCAATGACCATGGGGGTTGTAATAGGAACTCAACGAGCTTCTAAGCTCACCTCCAGACGGCGTCACAGTCGCTCTGGCAGATGACTCGGACCTATACAAATGGAGCGTCGAGATGAAAGGCCCCGAGGGCTCACCGTACCAAGTGCGTCACCGTCACATTCTCGGTCCAGCCAGACTGCTAATGATATTATCTACAACTGTAGGGCGGAATATTCGAGATCAGACTCACGCTACCAACAGACTATCCCTTTAAGCCGCCGACTGTCTCCTTCGCTACGAAAATATACCATCCCAACGTCTCCAATGACGACAAGGGAACGATGTGTCTCGGTATGCTAAAGTCAGATGAATGGAAGCCGTCGTCGAAGTTATATGCCGTGCTGGAGTTTGCGAGACAGCTTCTTGTGGAGCCGATGCCGGATGATGCAGTGGAAGGGAGGATCGCAGAGCAATATAGTAACGATCGGAAACAGTACGAGAAGATCGCGAGGGATTGGACGAGGAAGTATGCCTCGGGGAATGGAGGGGAAGGGAAATAGATGTGCGTGAAGGCAACAGGGAGAGGGCCGGGGTAGATGTATAGACGAAGAGATGGTGTTTTAGAACATGACTATCATGACGCATGTTTTTCTTTTCTTTTCTTTTAATCCTGGACGATTGATTGGCATTGTTTCGACTTCTATAGCTACTTGGATGCGTGTTATGGATGCAGATAAAATGCATTACTCTTTTGTATTGATGGGTAAGAAACCGCTTCGCCTAGTCTTTGAAATATGCGTGGTACACAAGAAGTATATGCCGGACATAACAAGGTATCTCAAGAATGCCATCTCAGTCGGATATGATCTTCTATCTTTCATGCAAAAATGGCGAATGAGGAGGTTGGGAAATAAATGCGTCTTGTAAATAACACAAAACCAGAAGGAAAACGCTACATGGTTAGTATCAGGCCAAAATGGACAAATCAGCATCAACTCCGATCAATGAACCGTCGGGATAAAAAAAGGAAAAAAGGAGAAAAACCAGCAAGGTGGTAGAAGGGCAGCTGATGGAACCCCGACTTCGATGGAACATGGTACAAATATACACGAAAAAAAAAAAAGGAAATAGAAAAAGGAAGTAATCTGCTGTGCCTCTGTGTCACACGAAAGGGGATGTAACATGAGACAGCATCAGTAGTCCGTAGCAAAAGTGACGACATCTCAATCCCTGCGAGTAGTGGGCAGGATGGATTTCTCGCCATTCGGCATTGAATTCAGCGAGTCAAAGGGCCACTGGTTCCGGCAGAGCGATTTGGCGAATGACTCGAGACCGGCGGTTGCGTAGCCAAAGTATGGCTCGACGAAGCGATTCCAGAGAGAGCATACGAAGAGCAGGATGGCGAAGAAGACGGGCAGCAAGCATACGATGATCAGGTCGCCTGGCTGGGGCACGACTTGGCCGTCGGTCCCATCTGCGAGTTTGCCTGGCTTGGTGATGCCGAGGAGATAGTTGGGTCCAAAGACAAGCCATACGAGGACGGTACGCATGAGCATGCCGTGGAGGAGGTAGAGGGCGAAACTGAGGCTTCCGATCCAGTGCAGCCATTTGTGCGAGAGGAAGTGGCGCATTTGAGGAGAGTACATGACGGCGAAGCAGAGGAGCTGTGCGCCGATGTTAGGCCAGGCCCGGCCCATGGCGGCGTTTTTGGGGAAGATGATGCGGCCGAGCTCTTCGAGCTGGCGGGACCATTGGGCCTGGTCGGCGAAGCGGTCGGGAAAGGAGCAGAGGTAGAGGCCTAATGCGACGACGAGGTAAGGGATGACAGTTGTCGCTTTGGACTTCCTTGGTGCCGGGAGGTAGGTCAGTTCAGCGAGGATCATGCCGGCGAATACATTTGGTCGAACAATGGCTAAACATTCGGTTAGTGTTCTGCATATGTCCATAAAGATGTAAAAATGGGTGGGGATAAACGTACTGTCGCCGGCAATCCAGCCCCAGGCATAGAGGATGGAGAGAGCGATAAGTCTAAAGGCCGGGGTGGCACTGGCGGTTGCAAGGAGAACCATGTAGATGAAGAACGAGCCCTTGAACAGATGCGCCAGCGCCCACTGCGGCTGGTCGTACCTGTTTTCTCCCACGATCCAGACGGCAATCATCTCCCAGGCCACGCTCTTGATGCCGTCTAGTATGGTCGGACTCGGGGCCGCGGCGGTAGTCATGGTCCAGTAGGCATCCGAGCTCCTGGCAAGGCCGTAGAGGCCGAGATTGCACAGAGAGAAGGAGACCAGCGTTGCCGCAGTGGCCGGGAGCATGAGCCGGCCCGTTCGTCTGAATGCGCCAACCGAGAGAGTAGAGAGGGCGTCCTGGTGGCAGCCGGAGCGGATCAGCTGGATTGTCTTGAGGGAGTTGACGAAGCCCAGGAGGACGAGGAAGACGGAGACGGCAGCGTTTCCCTGGCCGATGAGGCGCAGGTAAGGGTTCTGGAACAGCCTCCGGGGCCCGTCGGTCGATATGGAGGGCGGCATGACGCTGCGAGCAAAGCAGAGGGTGACATGGCTGGCAACGACGAAGAGAGCAGCGATTCCTCGGAGGCCCTATTAAGTTGACGATGTCGAGACGGGGTCAGCAAAAATTCAGTGGCCGGTGGAGTCGCAAGGTCTAGTCAATCAATATCGCATCTCCGATCTGATTCTGATATTGATAACTTTTCTCTGGGGGTAGGGAGGGCGGTTGATATTGCACGTACATCAGCCCATCGGGTGTCGATAAACGGCTTTGCCAAAGGTCCTGCCTTGGAGGCCATCGCTGCGAGAAGTAGATAGGAAAGGTAGAAAAAAACAAGGCCCAAGAAGAAGAAGCAAGGTCTATATATTAATGCAGGTCTAGCAGGGTCGTGGAGAGGGAAGAAGCGGTATTCTCCCCTGGGCGTTGAAAAGGGGGCATATAAAAAAAAAAGGGAAGCGAGAGGCTGAACTCGCAAGAATGAATGATTGCAGTTCGACCGAGGAGAAGGGGGGCAAAAATGCAAGCGAAGGGAAAGGAGAAGAAGGAGAAGAAGAAGAAGAAGCCTCGTGCAAGCGAGGAGAGGGAGAGGCGGAGGAAAAGAAAAGAAAAGCCCTAGAAGGCTGGCCGGCGATTCTGCTTGTCTGCGAACCGGGTCCCTGGAGGATGATTCCGATCGTCCTAAGTATAAATATATAGAGTCGAAGAAGTCGAGAGGGAAAAATGTCTATCTGTGACGCTGGGTCGCATGTGAAGCCCAGTAGGACAGATAGAAGCTTGCTGGAAGAACAGTCCTTGGTCACTGGTACATGGCTGGCAGCCCGGTGGATGTGCCTGGGCCCGGAGTACCAGCGTACCAGACACTCTGGCACTCTGTACGGAGTACATCAGACCAAGATACTCTGTACATCGCGGTGGCAGCCATGATGATGATGGCCAACAACAGGCACAACGGGTGAAACAGCCCTCCTCTTGTGCTGAGCCGGTGGAGCATGCTAAGCGGATCCGTCGAGGAGCCATTGTCCAAGGAGAAGAGGAGGAAGACGAAGAGGGAGTCTCTTTGCCTTCCACAAGCGCAGAGGGTGCGTGAATCGTGAAACCGCTTGTCCAGCAGACAGCAGACAGCACTGCAGCGGCCATCCAGTTCCCGCGGCATCATATTACGAGCGACAGCTCAGTAGATGGGTGCATACGTAGGCCTCGTCGTCGGGGAGCTGGGGTAGATGCCAATCCTTCCCTTCGCTGGCCTCCTGGATCACCATCGAGCCGTCCTTAGTCAGAGATGTGTCCCAGGTCGAGTCCATACCGAGAGAGAGAGAGAGAGACAGAGATGTACTCTGTAGACGAGCATCATCATCATGAATCTCTCACGATATAGTCTGGGATGGGAGATCGTGGCGAGAGAACAGGCGTTGATATTGGGTTCCGGCGGGCCAAGGGTTGAAACCAGGGGGTTGGCAGCCTCCAGCAGAGTCGACTCTCTCTCTCTGTGGTCTCTGGTTCGGCGATTTCAGGGCCGTGGCAGTGGCTGTAACATATTTAAGCTCTTCCTTTGCTGCTCGAGCTGTATCAAACGCTGCCGTCGTCGTTGTGAGGCTGCAGACTGCCATTATCAAATTTGTTATAATGCATACTCCGTACTCCGTATTTGGTAGGCCTCCGTATGCACCGTACGTGAGCCTGCATGGTCTGAAGACAGCTAATATCAACCCTGCAGCCGCTCGCTCGCAGCATGGTGTGTCTCCTAGTCTTATCATGGCCTTCTTCATCGTGGTGTCTATGATGTCTATGATGTCTCCTGGTCTGACTTGAGGTTGAGAACGGGAGCCATCTCGGGCTGCAGCCAGCACCGCCGTGTACGACAGGGCGTAAAGCACGGAGTAACCAGCCTGTCTTGCTCCCTGCCGGCCGCCTGTAACATCCCCGTGTAGCCTCTGCGTCTTCTTTATGCACGATCCCATGCTCTCTGTCTCTGTGCGAGTGTATGTGATATGCCAACCCCCCCGTACATCTCTACCTGTTGGCGACCAGCATCTTCGTCTGAGGACAGGCAGCCAGCGTAAAGACGGCCCTCCTGCATAATCACAAGCGTCTCATCCATGGCTTGTTACTTAATGGCCGCGGGGAGATGTTCTGTTGGCTCTACATCAAAGAACCAGCAGCCACTGCCCCAGACGCCGCAGCAACACCGTAGACGGCCTTGTTCCCCCATCTCCATCTCCATCTCTCTCTCTCACACTCACTCACTCTCTCTCTCTCTCTCTGCATGTACTCCGTATATATATATAGC